ATCCAATACCACAACAATCAACAATTAATAATAAATATTTTCATTTAGTAGGAAACCTTCTTGCCGTTTTTATCGTACGTATTGATAATTTTTATATTTTTTTGTAATTTCAGTTTTTCAGATTATTTCAGTCGAATTAATAAAGCGCCAAGAGAGGGTGAAATTCTGGTCACACTTCTACCAAATTCTCCTCTCTTTTATTTTAGGTCTTTTGGCCACAATTTTGCTCACTACCATTTTCAAGGGCTCAATTGGGCGTCTCCGCCCTTATTTTTTCAACTCCTGTCTCCCAAACATCAATTGTTCGTTGCCCCAAAACCACCACATTTACCACACTGTCTTTACTTGTACCAACGAAAATTATAAGAAAAACAGCCGGTGAGTTTTTTATTCGAATTCAATTAAGCAAAAATCCCCTCAGACTCAAAAAAGTCCATAAAACGATATTGGGTCAGGTCAGGTCAGGTTGTTGTTTTGTAATTCTTCTTACCCTAACCCCCCCTTGGGTACGGCCCTGGTCAAATCAAATTATTTACGCAGTTGGTAATGAAAAAACTTGAGTTGTTCCCCTTGAAACGGCCTTTACTTTCATTCCACTAAACACCTAGTGACCTAGTCTTAGTCTTGCTCGAAATGGTGCTCTCGATGGACCGCTGGCGCGGCAAAATCGCCGTCGTGACGGGGGCTAGTGCTGGATGTGGTGCCGCCATCGCCGAGGCCCTCGTCCGTGAAGGCCTCCACGTGGTGGGTCTGGCCCGTCGCAAGTCCCGGATCGAGGCCCTCGCCCAAAAACTCTCCTCCGACAACCTCCACGCTCTGAAATGCGACATGACCCTCGAAACCGACATCTTGGAAGCCTTCAAGTGGATCAAAGCCACCTTAGGCCCCGTCTCAATCCTCATAAACAACGCCGGCCTTTCCCAACCCAACACTCTAATCGGGGGAAACACCCAAATGTGGAAAACCGTCCTCGATACCAACGTCCTTGGACTAAGCATAGCCACCCGGGAGGCAATCAACCAAATGATGGAAAATGACATTGCCGGTCACGTGATTCATATTAATAGCATTTTGGGGCATTATGTGGCCCATGTGCCCAATTTGAATGTGTATTCGGCTTCGAAATTCGCCGTTACGGCCCTGACTGAGACTTTGAGACAGGAATTGGTGGGGTTGGGGAGCAAAATTCGAATTACGGTAAGACAATTAATGAATAAATTCGGTAATTGATTGGTTAGAGTGTTAGTCCAGGACCGGTCGATACGGAATTTGGGGCCGCGTTACGTGGGAGTGAAGATTGGGAAAAATTGTACAATTCTATGCCCAAATTGCAAAGTGAGGATGTGGCAGATGCTGTGGTTTATGTACTGTCAACCCCACCACATGTACAGGTTTGGAGAGGGGGAAGGGCGTGGCTTAAGTCTAAAACGGATTTTATAGGTGCACGAGATGATGATACGCCCACTAGGAGAACCGGTGTAAATGTGACGTAAAATTTGGTAATAATATACATGTGTATATTCGGTTGCATAAACTGCTAAATTTAACAATATTTTCGATAATAAAAATCACGTTTTAGTTAAATTAAATCATTTTAAACATTTATTATTGCGTGCGTGCTTCAGTTTTAGATTTTGTTATTAATAATTTGATTTGTGAAATTATTGATTGTTTATAATAAAAAAAGTAAACAAAATTTGTGTTTTATTACTATTAAAATGTGTATTTTTTTAAATATCGATTTCGATACATCGAAAT